GAATCTCTCATTGCGTAGAGTTAGCTGGTTTGTCTAAAAATGAAAATTATCACTGGCATTTTCAGGAGCCTAAAATGAAGGTTGATGTAAGGACTATGTCAGGGGATATGCCCCCAAAATGTGGCTTTATACATTGCCGTACCTACAGTTTAGGTACCTGGCCCTTGAAAACTATGATGGTTTCATCAAAAGGAAGGCATCCCTGCCAACCCAAATCAAAGATTGGCAGAAAACCTTTAGATATACAAGCAGCACCCGGGCAAGCCAGGGGCGAAAGTTTCACAAATGAAAGGCGTATAATGTGTTTAAGCAGAATATGCCTACAGGGTGTCATGTGACACCAGGCGTGTTGCAGAAACAGTTTCTGGATGTCTTAGTCATCTGACATCTCCTGCACTTGGCATCTCTTTTCTCTTGGCATTTCTTTTTTAATGAAATCAAATTCACATCAAAGGTGAAGTGAGATCAGAAGAGGCGAGACGGGGCGAACCAATTTGACAAGAGAGCTGGGAAGAGGAGGGAGGGGTTGAGAAGAGTTGTGAAAAAGTAAGGTGCGAAGAGTCGAGAATAGATGGGAAGAGTTCAGAACAGTTGAGGAGAGTCAAGAAAAGGTGAGTTGAGAAGAAGTGAGAAGATCTGGGAAAAGTTGAACAGTTGAGGAGAGGTGAGAAGAGGCCAGAAGAGGTAAGAAGAGGTGAGAGGTGAGAAGAAGCGAGAAGAGCTAAGAAGAGCTAAGAAGAGCTAAGAAGAGCTAAGAAGAGCTAAGAAGAGCCGAGAACAGTTCAGGAGAGGTGAGAAGAGGTAAGAGGTGGGAAGGGGTGAGACGGGGCGAGAAGAATTGAGAAGGGTTGCGACGAGGTGCGAAGAGTTGAGAAGAGTTGGGAAGGGTTGAAATGCGGTGCGAAGAGTTGAGAAGAGGTGAGAAGCGGTGAGAGAAGGTGAGAAGAGGTGAGAAGAGTTGAGAAGAGGCGGGAAGAGTTGAGGAGCGGTGAGAAGAGCTGAGAAGGGTTGAGAAGAGGTGAGAAGAGGTGGGAAGAGCTGAGAAGGGGCGGGAAGAGTTGATAAGGCAAGGGTTGAAAAAAGGGAGGATGAACTCAGAAAAAAGCTAAGCAAATTTGTAGCGCCATCGCAATTCCTATAGGCCAACGCGTCCTTCACTCATAAAATATTTTTGCGGCTGGAAACTTCGGCCGCCTGCCTTGCGCGGGCTTCACTTGCAGCTAAACTGCCAGGCGTACCTTCAGTGCATCATGAAGCAAATCTTTCAGGCTTTGTCGCCTTTGGCTTAATTGTTTCCCGGCCGTTTCCGCATCACAGTTCAACGGCTGGCGGCCGCTTCAGTTCTTTCCTCCGCACCAGAGGCATCTTCACGAGACCGTCGGCCTTGTACATAGGGATGTCAGGCGCTAAGATATTCTTGAAACAGCATGAAACAGCCACAGGGACATGCATAGGAGCCGTAGCCCTGACACCAGTGCGTGCCTGCGCTTGCATTTTTTTGTTATTCTGCGTGCGCTGCATGCGCGTTTTTTCCCTTCCATTTTTGAAGCAGAGTCTGGCAGGCGTGGGCCATGGGAGTTAGGGATTGGGCTGCCATGTTGGCACGCTTGGGGCTGGCAGGCATGGCACTTATGGCACTGGAATGGTCCTGGTGGCGCGCTTTGGGCTTGGCGGCTCCGTGGGAGTTTGCGTGGCATGGGACATCCAAGGCGTGGCAGGCGTGGCACTCACGGCACTGGGTTTGCTCTGGTGGCGTGGTTGGGGCTGGCGGGCGCTGCAGGACTTTGCGTGGCACGTGTGGCACTTGATGACATTGACATTGCTTTTGTGTGGCAGGCAGCCTGGGCCGGCGCGCTTGCAAACACATACTTCTTCGACTTCTTAACCCCAATGAGATTTCCTACTAGATACACGGGCTTAGCGCGAAGCACGGAGACGCTGCGATACCGATAACCCTGCATAGCGTGCGCACGGTAGCGAAATAATTGTTTTGGTGTCGCTTGCATGCCTGCGAGTCTGTCTATGACCCGAAACAAGGCACAAAAGTTGGCATGCATTGTTGTCGCAGCAGGGCTCTGCAGTGCTCAGGTGAAGCTTTCGAATTTTCGATTTCGCGAAAGCGCTCAGAGCTCAGAAACCGGCCGGTGTTTTTTTCCAGGGCGAGTGCTTGCACCAACATGCGCAACATTGCGATTTACATCATGTGAACACGGGGCTGCATTTACAAAATCACGCCACCAAAATAATTTCACGATTGGTGTTGTTTGATGTTGCCGGGTTTTGTGTGTTCGCGTGCAAGGCAAATTCGCAGGGTTTGACCCTTTTAGATTTTGGTTTTGCAATGAGCCTGAGCGCGCAACTCAGTCGTTTTTGGTGACGTGGGTCGGAAAGAGCCGTTGACGGGTCCCTTTCCTGCTTGGGCAAGGGCCCTGCATGCGTAGCTGGAGGTGAGCCTTGGGATAGAGCTGTGTGCGGCACTTTGATGTTCATGGCGCCGGAGGCTGTTGAGATTTGTTGACATTCATTGAAACTAGACGACGGATGTCTTCTGTTGTTAGCGCTATATTGCAAGACAATAAAGATGTATTATAGGCAGACGAGAAGTTAGTATCAAGACAAAATATTACAAGTACAAGACACTAGTTTGCATCGTATCCTTCGTATAGTTTTTCACACAGAACCTTTTACACGCAGACGCTTTTGCACAGAGAAGCTTTTACACACAGAAGCTTTTACACACAGACACTTTTAAACTCAGAAGAGCGAAGAGCGTAGAAGAGCATGTTACTCTCTTGTAAGTAGTATCAAAGACATAGGAGATAGAAGTGCTATGTCAGATGATCAGCAGAAAGGAGATAGAAGTGCTCAGCAGAAGTAGACAAAGATAAACACAAAATTTGAGAAACCGACAGAGACACACAAACAAAGATACCACACGCACACACAAACAGAACACAAAGAGGAAGACACATACACACACACACAGGCACAGACACACACGCACACAAAGAGGAAGGCACATACACACACACAGGCACAGACATTAGCGTAGGGGACCTGCAATCAGGGGACCTGCATTCTTGCATTCCTAACCAATCAAGTGTCTCAACTCTCGACTTGTTTGTCTCCGCTACAGCTTCAACTACAAACGTCACGAACATACTTTTTGCCATCATTTTGACATAGAAACATTCCGCGGTGTCAGGGCTCCACAACCTGGCATCGAATGAACTTCAAATGGAAAACATTGATTTCACACCGTCTACGTGGACATGCCATGTCTGATTTGTTCCTACTCAAATCCCAAACTGCGGCCAGAGTGGTTTAACCAACAGAAGAATGTCTGAGAAGTGAGCTCCGATAAAGCAACAAACACAAGCTACAGCTGCCATCTCAACGTCAGGTCATGAAAGAAGAAGCTGACTGACAGACATACAACCTTGACCAGCAAACATTTCAGCATGACACCTGACAGGTTCGGCAGCCTCCACCCTTAGCTCCGCAGAGACTGTTACACACAGAGACTTTTACACAGAAACACTTTTACACACAGAGACTTTTACACACATACGCTTTTACAGACAGACGCTTTAACACAAACACCTCCACACGCAGAGACTTTTACACACACAGACACTTTTACACACAGACGCTTTTACACACAGACGCTACACACAGATATACACAGATGCTTTCACACACTTGCTCAGAAATATCTTATCGAATTACTGATGTGGAATGCATCATACGTGCAAAAAACACCTCAGTAAACCTGACAGGAACGGTTTGGATGATTAGAGGTGAGAAACTGTGCGAAGGAAAACTTTCTACGTCCTTGCTCGAAGGATTTACTTGTTCTGATGCAGCTCAGTCAGATTGCGAAAACCGTACAGTTGTTTGGTTCGAAAACAGTGGGAAAAGCGACATGCCGGTTCTGGGCTTAGCCGGTGGCCATTGACGACAAACTGAAAATTGGAAATTGCAGGTACGTCGGGATGATCAGTCCCGATATCACAATCTCAAACCACCGTCTTCGTTGGGCAGTGGATGGAATGAGATTCACTGCCCCCCTGCGTAAACATTGAAAAACAAATTCATGAAGAGTTGAATCAAACAAGTAGTGCACCAAAAACGGATAGAAGTTTTACATCTATTCAGATGGTCCACACACACGCCTCGCTGCCGCGAGGCTACTTTTTGCCATGTGCGGAATGGTTCGGAAAGCTCTTATTGGTGCCCTGAAGCTGGATGTAGCGAGTAACGCAAGATCAAAATACAGGGAAGAAATCAGCTGCTGAATTATTCCTACAGCTCAGAAGGCCTCGATGTGCTGGTTCAATCGCTGATGTCTGAAAGTGCCTCCATTCGAAGGGCTTGATCTGACAATGTGCGAGTAGATTCTGCCAGATGACTGGCAAGGTGAGCCAAGTCTGCTGCCGAGAAGATCTGGACCGGATTCGGATCTCTTGTCAGTTCATCATCTGGATCCTCGAGTCGTTCGAGTATTGCCATGTTGGCATCCCTGTCACTGTTGAGAACGTTCCAGAAGAAGGTTGCCAGTTGTTGAATCTGGACAGGTGGCGGAGTAATGTCAACATTGGCGGCAATGGAGTCTGTATCATCCATGCCGGATCCTTGTAAGGATACTGGGCTTTCTTGAGCGTCATGGTGATATGGATGCCAATTTCCATCCGGGGGCATTTCTGGAATTTGGAAATAACGTCGCCAGTAGTTGGCAAGTTGGGTGGATTGATCCCAAGAGTCAATCCAACCGTTTCTACCAGCGCGTATGTGGCCGATGATCCCATTGAAGAAGAACTCCGGCTGCCTGTTGCGATGGATCCCGCGTCGATCCACTTCCGTCACCATAAGTCGGCGAAGTGCCGGTTGGGAAGTGTCATCGTGAGGTGTTTGAACCTCGACGAAGTAATATGCATGAAGTTGACGACGGGTTTCTGCCAATTCCATCTGGAGTGGATAGGCTTCTTCTTCGAGTCTTGGAAGGATTGGAGTTTGGTGGTCGGCAGGAGCTGGGATGGGTGTGGCCGTGTCTGCAGTCGAGTATCCAAAGTGGGATGGATGATCATTTGATCCTGCAGGTAGGAGGGATGGCCCAGCATCAGAGGCTGTGGGATCAGTGGCACTGCGAGAAGGAGTAAAAGGGTCAGAAGGTGCAGCAGTGCTACTGGGATGTCCATGACTACGAGATCGCCATGAATGACGACATGGCATACTCATCGAAGATGAAGGGTACGTGAAGCCGGCAATCAGGGAGTCACGTTTGGTCATGGTACAGCTGGAGCCAAGGGCTGAAAGGAGCAAAAAGGTCGGGAACATTAAGGAAATGAAACCAAGGACAAAAACACGAACAGAAAACCAAAAACAAGCCAGCGGATGCAAATGGAACTTTTTGGACCGTCTCATGGTAGCATAGTGCGGTTGGGAAGGGCTTCATGGCAGCTCATGCGCATGATATAAGGTTGAAGGTGAGACGTAAAAGGTCGAATATCATTGGGAAATAAAATGCCCAGTTCTTGGCCTTCAGTCCAGTGAGGACGAAAATCATGAAGAAGATCAACAAGTCGGTTTTCGTTGCGAAGAGCAAAGGTATCTCCAGTTTCGTCTTGCCATCGGATATCCATGGAAGACGGGGGCAAGTAGTGATCCCAAGTGTACCAGATGTGCTGGCTGATGCAATAGAGAAGGTTGTACACCGTGAAGGATTCGAGACGGTGAGTATTGAGTAAGACATTGTAAGTGAACAGGGCTCTTTCTTCCACCCTGCTTAAGGACGATGAAACATCGCATGTCGTGGCATCCATGACGTCATCATGGGTCTTGTTCATAAGTGGACGGACAGATTGAAGATCCACAATCGCCAGTACTTTCCGGAGACGAGGTGCAGGAGGTACCTCAGGTCTTGGATCATATCGTCGACCCCGATGTTGTGAGTGGTGACTATGCCACATAGGGTCGTCCCGCGAACGAGAGCGTTCAGGAGCGGTTCTTCCGTACGTTGATGAATGAGCCATATTGGCTGAGGGTAAACGAGAAGTGGAAGGAGAGACGAACCCAGAAAAAGAGAGAAAGAAGAAAACACAAAGAAAGAAAGGAAGGAAGGAGGAAAAACCCAACCAATGGCAATGACATGTCCAGTGGAAAAACAGGCTGGACCGCTTTTTTCCCGCATTGACAGTGAAAAGATGTTTGTTAATCTTCCGCCTCTGGTTCGAGGGGTGGGTTGACACGACCGTGTTGGTCAAAAGTCCCAAGCGTTTGTTTCAGGATGCCCCATCTCAATTTGCATATCTGGGGATCGCGATGAAGTCTGGCACCGATCGTCTTCCATGAAGGACGGGACTTTGTGTCCTGTTTCATACTCATCAGCTCTTGATCATCTGCGTTAGTCCATGGACGGAACGGTGGATCACGAGGTGGATCCGTTGGATTTGGCTGAAGGATTCGATTCGTGGGAGAAGCCGGTGCCTTGGGATTTGGAGTCAAGGTAAGTGTGGAGGCACCAGGAGGAATGGTGACGTGGGATGTTGACTCGCCACGATGGCCATAATGGACTTCAGTGTCATGAGCGGAAGCAGCTGCTGATACGGCATCGCCATCAGAGTCATCAGAATTGAGGGCGCTGGAAATGACTTCTGAGGTGATTGGGAGTGGGCCGGGAGTGACGTCTCCCTTGACCATTGACATTGGGGTTTCAGGCTGGGTAGACAATTTTTGTCTCTTCTTTGGTTGCGGGTCGACTGTTGACGAGACCCTTTGCTTGGATCGAACCGGGACTGGGATTGTGGTACGAGGTTTGTCTCGACCAGGTTCAGTGCTAGATGGATTGCCCGGATTAGGGTCAGGATCCGACATGAGAATTGGGTTGCGAATGCCAATGGGTGTGGTTGACGTATGGTCCCTATAAGATGGAGGGCGCATGGTGGTGGGACGAAGGTTGAGTTCTGGGTTTTCCACCATGTGTGACGGGATGCCTCCATGTGTTACCATTGTGGGTGACACTGACGATGGAGGTAAAGGAACGAAAGTGCGGAGGCTTCTTGATGTCGTGCGGTCAAGACGGAAATTTTGAGGAGGCATTGAGTCCTCCCATTCAATGGAGGGCTCGAAAAAGGGAAGAAGCCCTGCCAAATAATTCAAATGCATCAGAGCCCGAGCCAGATGGTGATGAAAGGCACGACCTTGAGCGTGATCCATCAGAGGGAATGTCACCGTGAAAAGGAAGGAGCAAGCGGAAGTTGAGCCAAGAAGCTGCCAAGGGACCAACAAACAGAAAGAGACACACAAGAAACACGAGGAAAACCAAAGGGAGACAAAAACAACGACAAAAGAAAGAAGAGAAACCAAACGAAACCTAACCAGACCAACAACACAAAGGAACCGCAAACAAGCAAGCAAGAGCACTCATTTGACACTGTGGTGGAAGGTTCTGATGCTGAATCAAAAGTTGGTCAGAGATTGTCTGGAGCTCCTCCTTGGGAA